TAGTCCTTAGACTCTGATGTTTAATAAATCATGGTCTCGTGCTCTATAGTATCTATTAAAGAATATGACGTTTTTTTCTATTTTATCCTATGTTAGCAACCGACCTCTGTGGTGTTCTTACTTTGTTTCTATTAATTAAACCGGTCATGTTTGATGATTTAATGACAGCCGAGAATATGAATGCCTTATTTTAATTATTACAAGGTTACATACAATGTAATAAAATGAAAGAAATACTTCAAGAAGAAGCTTTTCAAAAGAAAAGAAATTTTTATTTCATGGTGCACTTTTTATATACTATACAGATTTGCACTTGAATTGGTATAAGTACCTTTATTTTGTAGTTTGCTTATTAGGTGATCTATATCTTATTAGAAGTTAAGGCATTCATAAAATTCGTTTTTCTAAACTTACTGTGCTATAATAGAGCAGAATTACTGCATTACTATGATACATATTTATTGAGTATTCATAACTAAAAGTTATGCAGAATAAATTTAAAAAATCACACAGAAACTTGCCTGGACCTTTATTGTTATTGAACTATTTTTCACATTTATAAGACATCGTAGCTATAAGGCGTATGCATAATATCTCTGTTGAAAATTCTATATAGTTATTCGTAAATGTAAAACTTTTTTCACACATTTAATAATTGAAAAAAAAATTAAATTCACAAATTTAAGCTCATGTTCGATATATTTTTCTTGTTAAGTAATAACTAATAAATTCAGTTAATTGGAGAGATCAGTTAGAGCTTTGAGATTCCATTCAGAGGTTCCAGGTTCGATACCTTTCTCGAGCAAACTGATGCCAAGCAGCAGTGACATACATCGGTTTTCACTTGGAAATATAGATTGGAATATGTTTCCAAGTGAAAATAGCACTTACCCGGCATTGCTGCACCAATAAAAAAATCATCACTATTTCAGAACAATAATAATAATAATATTCATCACATAAGGATAGAACAACTGTTTCGGCTGCCATCGTAATATAAAGCACGCATTTACTAATTTAAAAAATATAATGTAAATTCACAAATTTAAGCTCATGTTTGTTATATTTTTCTTGTTAAATAATTACTAATAAATTTAGTTAATTGACCCGTAGGTTAGTGGTTGAAGCAATGAGAGATTCCATTCAGAGGTCCCAGGTTCGATACTTGCAGTGTATGTCAAGCAGCAGTGACATACATCGGTTTTCACTTGGAAATATACATAGGAATATGTTTCCAAGTAAAAATAGCACCCACCTGGCATTGCTGCATCAATAAAAAATCATCTATTTCACAAAAAAATAATAATATTCATCACATAGAGATAGAAAGATTGTTTCGGCTGCCATCTATCAAAACCGATGTAGTTAGTTAAATAAATCAGCATCTCATGCAACCCTTAGGTTTTGATTGCTGTTCATATAATAATAATTTAAAAAATCAGTAAATTACATCGGTGTTAATCATATTTCACTTTATATTTTACACACGTGATGTAATTATTATTTGTTTTTCCAAAATCCAAAAAGACGGCAAATGCAGCCACACAGCTAAATATAGAACGTTGCAGGTTGGCGAAAACAATGATTATTGAAAATTGTTCAAATATTTGCGCCAAGAAAATATTGTTCCGATTATTTGTATAATCATTTGCTTTGCAACTATTTGGAGATAATTTTCAAACAGACGGTGATTTTCATAATGGTGTACGTATTGTTTCAAAATACAGGTGTCTATACAAACGCTTGGTAATTATATTCGTACAAATATATAAATTCCACGAAAATTGTCACAAAAATGTGGAGAGAGAATCGAAATAACTCATTTAATTGTATATATACAATATATATATATATATATACAAACTTTCTTATGGAGAGAATTCGAGTCACGACGAAAAATAATTTAATTAATAATTTTGCTATTTTTCTTACATTTATTTCAACATTTTGAAATACTTAAAAATATTAATACCTGTTTGTATGTTTGCACCAAGTGTTTTGCCTATGTTGACACATATAATACTACAAAATGTGAAAAATAAAATCATTTTCAATAAATATTAACTGTGCATTAAAAAAGAATTATTTATTGCGAATATAAATTATTGTAAGTTAATGAGGCTGAATAATTTTCATTAAAATGTTGTTCTAAAACGATTTTAAAATAATGAATGATATTAAATTACTTTTTTTTATTCTAAGAAAGTTGTTTTGACTAATATTCGGTCAATAAATTATAGGATTATTTTCATGTGCATACAAATATATCTTTTATAATCTCATATGATCTTAAAAAATACTATAGGGCAGGTCGGTTTGAGATCTATTTTGTTAGATTAATTTAAAATTGTTGTTAGAAAAAATGGGCAGCACTTATTAATTACTTATTACGTAGTAAGTAATTATTAATTACTTATCACATAGTAAGTATGTACTAATTCTGTTTAACTGCAACTTGTCTGTGATAAAATTCAGCCTGTAAGTAAATATTTGTTTTTTTTTTATCAAGAGAATTAAAGTATGAAAAATTCATTATCTAATTTACATAATTGTAGAATTAAATATAGTTGCTTGTACTTTTTATTTAATTATTTTATAAGAATATGTAATTAAATTCTGAAAATGAAAATAATAATTATTTCTTATGTTATTCTATGAAATTCATTGAAATATGTATTTTTGTGCCTATTTGAAAAGTTATATAAGGATAATATTTTACAGGGGGCGATCAAGTAATTTGCAGCTCATACGTTAATCATCTCATACTATCACCTATCATAACTTCTTAGAAGAAAAATCAACAAGTTATAGACGATTTAACGCTCTCTTCGAAATGCGCCTGATGTACCTTACAAGTATGTTCTTAAATTTTGTTTTGTTCGAATGTGAATCTGTTATTAACATATTGAAAATACCAATGATACTATTATATTATTTACGATGAATTATTGAAAAAATTATAAGCGCAAGTATTGTGTTTTGCATATTTTAATATGATTTCTACAATTTTAGCCAGAAATATTCTATTTTCTTCATACCATACGCGAAATAATCCGAACGAAATGTTAAATAATCATTCTTCTACTTGCTTAAGAATCACATGAAACTTGTGATTTGATGCAAAAAATTGAAAATATTTTAATAATAAATTACTTATAAAACAAAAATACATATAAAATTAAAACAAACGTACGATACTGCTATATTTATTACACTAGATTTACGGATTTTGGTTATAAACCTATTTTTACTGAAGTGAGTTAAAAGTATTTTCAAGGAAATCATGTAATGCATTCTATTTGGAAAGTCGAGGATTGTTGATAGTAGAAATAAAAAATACATCACAGTTCCTTATCATTATGGCATTAGCATTAAGTTAATGCTTACAATAAAAAGTTGATGCCTTAGTTAATGACAAGAATTACTGTTTAATATTGATACGTTAATTATTTTTGTAAATAGTTACTTTACTTGTTTCAACTTTTTCAGTCACCCAAGAAACGAACCATTGATCTGCTCTCTCCAATTACGACACATCAAATTATATATTCATACATACATTATATATTTATTTATTTATTTACTTATTTTTATCATAATTAAACTAGGTATTTGCAATGAAATACATTCTAAATTTATTGTCAATGTTTTATTAATTTTCAACAATACATACCAATTGTATTGACTACTATTTAATATTTCTATAAATTGTAATATTAATTTTTTTTATTCAACCAGAATATTATATAGTATTTTAAAAAAATAATTAACAAATTCACACATTTTACAAAAATATAAAACTGCATCATCAAAAATTATCATTAGTGTCAAAATTCTCTATTTGGTGTAAAATACTTTTAAAATGCTCTTTATTATTGTACTAATAATTCCATTGATATGTTTATTAGGCAATATAAAATGTTGTTGAAAGTTTTCAACATAACAATCGTAAAATGCTTTAAATCTTAACATCAACATAACTACAATGATCGAAATCACTCTATGATATAGGAAAATATTGGCTTGAGTCTTTTATAAGTACATGATAATTTAAGTACCTGACCATACAAAAATATAATGTATTATGGAATCTTGTTATTAAATTTTTGCAACAAACGCGAAAATCGAAAAAGCATGCTTTTTAGTAATTGCAATTACTTTTCAGTCATAGACCTTATAAAACATATGTATTATAAGGTCTATGATTTCAGTACATTCTACTCGAATTTGTAACCTAATATTAAATACATAAATTATGTTTGAGTATTTAAATAATAAAAAAATTTAATATCTTATTTTTATATATTCTTGATTTCTTGGCACTAATTAATCATGTATTTACTATACTAATACATGCAGATCCTCGTACATCAGTACAGTTGACTTAACACATTTCTAAGCTTCACAGTCTCACAACTCTTCACTAATGTAAATCATAATATTAAACGATTCTTTATTCATAATATTAAACGATTCTTTAATATGAAACAAATACGACCTTAACATATTTTAAAGACGAATGATTTAACAACAGCGTGATGTACATTATTCAGTTTCTTCTTAATAAAAGACTAGCATTAATGCTTAAAATTTGTATTGTCCAACTAAAACAACAATATTCTAAACATTAATGGGATCGTTTATCGCTTTCATTTCATTTATAATTGATAATGATAACAAAGTCTATACGTTTTAATTTAATAATCAAACCCCGTCTTTGGTACCGAAAATAGTGCTTTCAATTGTAATAATTATTACTGTATTTGTGAACTAGTAAAGTTTGACTGGTAAAGAATTAATACACAATAACTCAATTATAATAATTGGACTATTCTAATAAATACTACCTACCAGTCAATTTCGCATTAATGAAACATTTTTAGCATTATATGTATGTCATTTTGGTTTTTATTCAAAAGCAGTAATAATATATTAGAAACTGAAATCTTAAGTTTTTGTCTATCTAAACATATTTGTTTAGATTGACATGCTGCATAAAATCAAGAAGTAGGCCAGAAGATTTTTAGCTGTTTTACAAAATTGATATTAATCTATTAGCCCTAAGTTTAATTTCTACATCTATCAGTAAAAAGATTGGGAATCTCATCAATGTATAAAAACGACTAAAACGTACGAATGCGAAACACAAAACAAAATTCACACAATAAATGCAAAATTGAGCAATTTAGACCCTCGTACTCGAAACTGCCTGATTATCAATAATCCGGTCGTTGACGCTTCCTCCGGAACTCGCATTGGCTAAAGTTGCATTTGTCTTATTATCTATAATCTTTAATGTAGAAGGCGATTTTGAGATGGCGCATCTCATTCAATATCACACAGCAATGATACACCGTTGTTCGTACATGATGAACATTCAGAGCATATGCTGCTGAGTATGGCACTTATGGCAATGTGCGTTAGAATTTTAAACTTGTGAATTGTCCACATCTGAAAAATAATTATTTAATTTAAATCGTGCTTTTGGCTCTTATCTTATTAAAAATAAAATATGGCTAATTGACGCAGTTGTTATCTACAACTGTATCAACCGGCTAATAGCTCCAAACATTAACTATGAATTAATTTTCTAATATAATGATTCAAATGCGATAAAAAATATTGAATTGTATGTATTACATGTTATAACTTTCTATTTAGAAGAGCGTCCATACCTTGTTCTAATAATCCGTTTTTCTTCTGATCGTCGATGGCACCGAAACCGCTTCCGGCCGTCGGATCTGTATATTAAATTATTATTAATGAATTATAATACATTTCTTTAATAAGTTGGGAAAACGACTGATCCAAAGCGGATGTACGAGTCCATAGATAAAGTATACAATAATGAGAGTTTGAAAAATGTACAAAATAACATTGCGTTAATTTATTAAAACCGCGTTTTCACGAAGTTTTATTACCTGAAAGCGGTTGGGCTGCAGCATCACCAGATTCATCCTGCTTAGCAGAATCATCTCGAACGCACCGCATCAAATTCATTATAACTGCACCCACTAAGGGAGGTAATCCTGCTAATATCAAAGGCAGCGTGTATGATTGCATGTGATCATAAAGCAATCCGGCAATGGGCGCTCCCATAGTTAATGGAAGTGAACAAAGGCTCAACAAAAATCCTATCCCTTGCGTGGCGCCTTTCGGTCCACATAAGTCAAATGCTATAGGTCCTAATAAAGAAATAAAACATCCGTCGAATAAACCCATAGCTAAAGCAATAGCTAAAAGCACTTCGTATGATGGTGCAAATGGCAAGCAAACTGTGAGAATTCCTATGCTCACAAATGAAATTTGTTGAAGAAGAATCCTATCTACTCTTGGAAGGTCAGCAACGTATCCAAATATCAGTCGACCAAGTCCAGATGTTATTCCAATGCACATTACTGGCCAATCACCTCTGCGTCCAGGGAAAGCATCGGCTACGAATTTTACCATGTGTACGTATGGCACGAAATAACCGAACAGTGCGAAGGGTATCGTCAACGCCCAGATCACATAGCGTTTTCTACGCCAGTTATCAACATTTATTATAGTTGAGCATCCAGTACGTTCCTTCTTGAACAGTGGACGTTGGCGTGGCTGCAGAGGTTTGAAAAGCAGAGCGCACAGGATAATAAAGGACGACATAAGTGCTAAGACTCTCAAAGCAGTAGGAAGACCCGCTGCTCCGACTAACCAATTGAGAAAGGCAGGCATAGCAATCGTGAAGACCGAGCTTCCAGCAGTTACCACTCCATTAACTAAGCCCAGATAGCGCTTGAAGTAATGTCCTAATATTGCCAGTGACGGAGTGTAGGTTAAAGCGGCTCCTAAGCCGTACATAAGGCCATAAGTCAGATATAATGCGGCTACATTATCAGTTAGGAAAGATGAGAGCAGCATTCCGGAAGCAGCAAGTACGCCTCCAAATAATGTAGTTCGTCGCAGACCGAAGTGATCCGTCAGTATTCCAGAAACCAAAGACATAGAAAAAGTGGTGCCGATGGCCAAGGATCCCACCAACGCTGAAATAAAAAAAAAACAATAAGCAAACATTTCAGAAGTGTAAGGTATTATAAGTTCTTTTCTCTTATATATATATATATATATATATATATATATATATATATATATATCATTCCGAAGGACTTGCTATTGTTCGGTAATCGTTGGGGTCTATTGTAAATACCGTTGTGCCTAGGTTCATGAACAAAGCATGTTCTACGAAATACGTAGCCCCTACGTTCTACGAAGGATCCGGCCGTTTTTTTTAAGTTAGTCTACTTAATACAGCGGCAAAGGACACATATATCAGTAGATTTAAACATTTATTTTTGCAATTACGATGTTTTCAAAATTTAAGCCTTGGTATTCAAAAGGAGAGTAAAGATAACACGTAACCCTAACTCTCGATCATAAAATAGAAATCATCAATTTTTCTTGTAAAAATAAAAAATGTTTTTTGTTAAAAATTTAAAAATATTTTAATTATATTTTCCAATAAATGTAAAATAAACTTTGTTGTTTTTTGTATTCCCTACTGATTTTTTAATTTAATCATTAATCTAATTGTTTTTATAATTACCGCGCGATAGTCCGGAATTTTCAATAGTCCGACACAGTCGGTTCCTTGAAAGCCGGACTTTTAATGGACCATATATACGACTCTTGTGTCGGACCATTGAAAATTCCGGGCTATAGCGCGGTAATTATAAAAAAAACAATTAGATTAATAATTAAACTACAAAATTAGTAGGAAATACAAATAAGAAAGTTTATTTTACATTTATTGGAATATATATTTTCAAATTTTTAACAAAAAACATTTTTAATTTCTACAAAAAAATGATGATTTCTAGTTTCTGATTGAGAGTAGTGTTTCATGTTTTCTTTTCTTTCCTTTTGAATACTTCGAATCAAAGTGTTTGAAACATGGTCACTGCATGGTTAAAACTACTGATATATATATGTGTACTTTGCCACTGTATTCAGTAGTAGACTTACTAAAAAACTGGCCGAATCCTTCGGAAAACGTAACGGCTACGTATTTCGTAGAACATACTTCGTTCATGAACTTAGACACAACGGAATTTGCCATGGACTTAACGATTACCGAACAATAACGAATCCTTCGGAATGATTCCGAACCAACCCGAAAACGGTATGATAGCCCTCGAGCGTTTTTATTTGCTATAGAGGCACATTTTTTTTAAAAAAAAAACGAAATTTTCGAAAAAATTCTGGACTATCGGGACACCGGATTCTTTGGTGCTGAAGTAAAAGACTTTTACTGTAATACGGATTTTAAAACATTCTCGTAAACAAACAAAAAATAAATTTAACTTTCAAAATATAGTATTCCTTTATAAGACCTTGCAAGTTCACTAATTTTAAGAATTTTAAAACTCACTTCATATTCATGAACTTTCATTATCTTTTATATGGTGTCATGAATAAACATGCCAACACACATTTATCAATAATTAATTGTCCTCATGATGCTTTCTAATAAAAGAATCATTTGAAATTTAACTCCGATAAAATTCATTTTTCGTCATCTCTAGAAAATTCTAGATTTTTCGGATCTCTAGAAAACTCAGCAATAGTTCTCAAGCAATAAAATATATTATAGTATACTAAATTATTAGATCAAGGATGTATTTACTAGATTTATTTCTTATTGTATTGATTTTGTTTTTTAAATTTGCACGAATGTTATGAAAAGATAACGATTGTCTCGAATTGTGTCTGGGATATGAAATTTAATCTTTTTGTCAGGTATCAACAAGCAGTTCTGAGTATAATATCGGAGTTAATTTTTGATTATAGAAATTTTCAATATCATTTTCTCAAGACGTTATTTTCACACACATATATATGTGTGTGTGTATACACACATGTATATGATAATCGCTAACTAGGCCACAATCGAACAATAAAATGTTACTTTATCACCACAATTCTGATATAATTAGTACAAAATTTCCGTCATAACAAAACATGTTGAATGTCTTTTTAGCGATCGCCATATTCTTAATTGTTCGCCTAACCCAGATCTTACAGTATCTTCATGTTTTGAGTAAGATTCAACAGTTCTTCCGAAATCGTTAATTGGAAGGATGCCAATACTTCATAAGATTTTAAATTTACATTTTATTTTCGTTATTAGTACTGAATGATTTCAATTAGAATTTTGAACATCATTGCAGTGGCTCTACCTCAATATTAAGGCACATTTTAGAGAACCACAGAATAATTTAACATTTTCAAAATTTTATTGGAAAATATGCAACTTGTCGAGAATAATAGTGTTTGAATGATTTAATACTTTATTTACATTTAAAACAAATCAACAACCGTTTCATACACTCTATAAAATTAGTGTTCCTAAAACAAGCAAAAGTGAGGGACAGTTGTGCAAATCCTAGTTTATTCCTCAATTATATATATATATATATATATATATATATATATATATATATATCTTATTTTGTTTCTATAGATATTTCGTCTCGAATGGTCAGTGTTGAGGCATGTGTACTCATAACTTTCAATATTCAATCAATAATCGGTTTTTTAAATTGACAAGAATTAGTTCAGCTGTGCATTTGTGAATATAATAAAAATTAATTAGTTTCACTCCAGTTTAAATTACCACTGAAGATGGCATAGGACCGCATTTCGAAACGCATGGGAATAATAAAGATACTATAAAATATCTTCCAATTATATTTTGTGTACAGCCTTGAAGAATTTGGTTCACACACACACACACACACACACACACACACACACATATATATATATATATATATATATATATATATATTAGATTATTTTATATATGTATCATCACTCATATATTTATATATATATATATATATATATATATATATATTAACATAGCTAAATTATCGAAATAACAAATGATAATAATTATGTTACTTATTATGTACGTTTCGACACCTTATGCGTGACACCGTTAAGAAGTTTATATTAGGAAACTCAAAATAAATAATCATTGTTTTGTAGTTCATGAATATACACGAAACTTTGAAATATAAACAAATTGAGAAAAAATTAAATAGAATTGTATAGTTTGTCACTTTATTTCTCAATACAAATTGATTAAATATCAATTCTCAATACAAACTTGATGTGTTTACATAATTCCATTATACTTTTTAAATTTTATTCTAAAGTTTTGTGTTTATTGTTTGATTACAAAACAATGCATCTCTATTTCTTGGCATGAATTACTGAATGATGTCACACATACAATGTCGAAACGTACACAATGAATAATACAATTATATATTTAACTTTCCGTAGGGTACGTTTAGTAATCGCTAAAACATCGAAAATGAAAATTATCGTCCCAAAGATTTCTGAATATTTTGGCATACCTTAGAAAAAATGTATGTGGGTGTATGTGCGGATAAAATTTTTCGCCGACGTTTTCGAGAGCACGGATATCAACGGATTGGGGACACGAATTAGCAAAGACAGGTCCAACCGTTCCGAAAATATAGGGCAAAAAGTGCCAAAAATGGTAATTCAATTTTTTAGAGAACGGAGCGTCCGATTTGAATATTCACAACACATTTTATTTATATTGACGCAATGAAGAACTGATGGAGTTTTTGGAAAGGCAGGTCTAGCGGTTTTGGAGATCCAATAAAAAGTTTTAAAAAATGCCATTTATTAGACATATTCAAATAAAATTATCAGATCTTTTATAGAGATTTCAGTAAGAAGTATAAATTTTGTCTTCATTTCTATGGGTTTCGTACCAAGAATTAAGGGCCTGTTCTGCCATAAAAGAGATCAATGATACTTTACAATAATATTTTTTATATTTAGATTTTTTTGTATTTTGTTTTTTTTTTGACAATTTGGAACATATTTTTTAAACAATCGCGCTGCATGGCCAGCGCCGCGTAGTAGTCTATCGTGCAAACATTGGTATGGAACCCATATAAATGTGCACAAAATTTGTACTTATAATTATAATTTTTATGAAATATCTGATAATACTATGTATATATGTCTAATGTTCATTTTTGAACGCCTAATGGCATTATTTTTTACTTTTTTTTCAAATCTCCGGAGACGCTGGCGTGCCTTTACAAAAAATTCACCAGTTGTTTATTTCGTCAATACAAGTAAAATGTTTTTTGAATTATTTAAATCGGACCCTCCGTTATCCCAAAAACTGAAATACCATTTTTGGCACTTTTTCCCTCTATCTCCAAAACGGCTAGACCTGCCTTTTTCAAAAATTGATCTGCACGTCTCGTTATCAGTAGGAGTCGTACGAATGTTTTTTGAATAAGTCAAATCGGTTGATTTGTGTTCGCGAAATCGTCGACAAAAAATTGTATCCCCACACACCCACACACACATACATTCATTTTTTCTAAGGTATGCCTTAATGTTCAGAAACCTCTGAAACGTAAAGATATATGAAAATTTTCATTTTCAATTTTTTGCGATTACTATAACTTACCCAAAGGAAAGTTAAAAAATAAAATCTAAAAAAAAATGTCTGAAAAAATCTCAAAAATACATATACACAAACTAGATAAGGTACGCATGATATGGGTAAATTTAGTGCCATAGTTTATCGTCCGTTCCATGCCGGTCTCAATTGGATCGACGCCAATGCAAAGACAGTCCGAAGCGTAAAATGCATATTTTACTACAAATGTTGGCCGAGACTCGGTCGAGTCATACAAATAGACGACGGATTTAATGACCTTCTCAGCTGCAATACGTATAGACTTTGTTTTCCAAATAGGTTGACGCGTTTTTATGTTTTACGTCATCATTTTCTTCCATTTAAGTAGTTAAGAATTCAAGGTAAGGCTCTACCACGCATGTAGTGCACCTTGTAATTAATTTAAAATACGATTGCACATATGGCAGCGACGTGATAATATAGAAAAAGCACTCGATTATTATATCGATAATTATTATAATTTATGAAACCATTATTCTTGCAACTTTTTATGTATTTTTTATT